ATCTTAAGCACAAAGACACAGACAGACAGACAGACAGACACACACACACACACACACACACACACACACACACACACAGACAAACAGAGAGAAAGAGACTGGTGCCTGATACAGGCTTTTGAAACCTCAATTCCAACCCCCAGAAACACAACCTTCCAACAAGGCCACACCTCCTAATCCTTTCTAAACAGACTCCTAATCCTTTCTAAACAGACTACCAACAAGGAGCCAAACATTCAAATATATGAGCTTATGGGGGCCATTCTCATTGGAGGCACCACAGATGAACAGATGATTTAATGGCTGGAGATGGGTGTGATTGAGTGGATGGACAGACAGATAATGAATGGATAGTTACATGAATAGATGACTAGATGGCTAGATGGATGTGGAGGTGAGTGGGTAGGTGGATGGATGGATAGATGGATGGATGGATGGATGGATGGATGGATGGATGGATGGATGGATGGACGGATGGATCAATAAATGGTTGCATCTTAATGCATGTGGTTTCTGTTTCCCTAGGCATGACTTGCCAAGCACGAAGCTCTTACATGGACACGGAGGTGCTCTGGGGCCACCGATTCACACCAGTCCTCACCTTGGAAAAAGGCTTTTATGAGGTGGACTACAACACCTTCCACGACACCTATGAGACCAACACACCCAGCTGCTGTGCCAAGGAGCTGGCAGAAATGAAGCGGAACGGGCGGCTCCTGCAGTACCTTCCCAGCCCTCCCTTGCTTGGGGGGTGTGCTGAGGCTGGGCGAGATGCCGAGGCTGAGCAGGATGAAGGGGACGAACCCAATGGACTGAGTGTGTCCCGGGCGACCAGGGGCTCAATGTGAGGTCTGCGTTCTACCCAGAGCCTCTTCTTACCAGACACCGAGGAGCCTGGGCGGCCGGAGAGGCCAATTAGTTGAGCAAGCTTTGTGGGGCCCCAGGAGCATGGGAGCTCTATGGAGAGGAACAGCGTGCTGAGCCCTCACGGCTCCTCTTCGGGGCCTCTGAGCAAGGGGCCTTGTCTAGCCTTCACAGACAGTGCTTTCTAGGCCTCGGTGAGTGGGAGCATTAGCTAAGGCTGTAGCCAGGGTGGGGTTCCCAGAGAGAGAGTTTTAGGGTTCCATCTACCCTCTCTCTGATTACTGGCACCTGTTCACTTCCCTCCCGGATTTTGTCTCCTCTAGGGACCGACAACATCACCCCTGATTCTTACCACTGAGGCCTGTAGATTGAGGGAGCGCAATTCTGTCCATGGACGCTCAGGCCCACAGCTGGGGATGAGTTCACAGAGGCCTCCTCCCAGGCCAAAGCTACCCAAGTCAGGGACAATGCCTTTTAGTCTGAGGCCACAGCCACTCACTAATAACTTCTTTGCAAGGCCCCTTGTTCACCTCTGTTACTTCCTAGTGCGTGCGTGTGTTTTCCTCTTCTATCTTGTGTGGACACTACGGCTTACAGGGTAATTGAGTTCATTAGCGTGACCCGGGACACTGACAATGGACCTAGGAGCATACACAATGCTGTCCTCGCAACTGCCTGGGACTCCTAGTCATACTGTGCCTTGCACTTCAAAGCGGGGAATCCCAGCAGTTGTGCTTCTGGTAGGACTTTGTGGTCCAAGAACTTCAAAGAACCTGTGAAGCGGTCCTGAACACGTGAATTTCAGAGAGCCAGATGAACTCATTGGTACCAACCCAGGGCGGCCGCGGGGAAAGGAAGCGAGGAATGTTTTAATAGAGGAATTTGGAGCCTGGTGGACGGATGCATCCTAGCACTTGGCAGGCGGAGGCAGAATTGTGAAGCTGAGGCCAGCCTGGGCTATACACCCGTCTCCAAAAGGCAAGAGAGAAAAACTAACAAAGAAGGAAACGTCTGCCTCAGCTGTTGCTTGGGGGCTCCCAGGAGGAAAGTGGACTACGACACAGAGGTGACAGGTGGCCAAGGGTGGACCAGAGTCTTAGATTGGTACCCAGAGGCCTCTGGACCTCCCTCCTACAGAACAGCTCCAACATGGTGGCGGGACCCAGAAGGTAGTCCCTGAGAACAGGAGGTGAGAAAGTCGGCAGGAGAACCAGGAAAAGAAGAGCCCGAGAGCAGAGAAGAGCCTTGAGGTCAACAGTCTTGGAATCTTTTCCCTTCCAGCCTGGAGGACTGATTGATGGTCAGGTCAAAGAATCTTAAGTAAGAAAAATAAGCTGGGCCCGGTCTTGGAGAGATGTTGACACGCTCCCCCACACCTCTAACACAGTCCACACCCGAGTGTCCATAGTTCTCAACCAGCCTTTGAAAAGAGAAGCACTTTCCTGTCAGGCCCTGGAACACTTTCCCTGGGATCTACAAGGAGAAGCTAAGGGAGCCAAAGGAACAGCTTCTGGACCTCAGGCCTTTTCCCCCTCAGACTAGGTTCCCAGGTCCCTGGGCTGATGAGGAGAAAGTGGCCTGAGATGAACAGTTATACTCGTTAGCGGCCCCCACATAGAAGAGGGGATTCTTTACTTGGCACCTGAACTAAATCTTGAGAAATGGTAGGCAGTGAGGGGTGTGTGTGTGTGTGTGTGTATGTGTGTGTGTGTGTGTGTGTGTGTGTGTATGTGTGTGTGTGTGTGTGTGTGTGTGTGTATACATGTGTGATATGTGATTTGTAGACTAAAATTTTAGTGTGTGTGTCTGTGCACGTGTGTGAGTGTGTGTGTGTGTGTGTGTGTGTGTGTGTGTGTGTGTGTGTGTGGTGGTCCAGTCCCACAGTGATAAGGTACCAGTTATGGTCTCAAGCATCTTTCTATGTGAAGCAGGTCTAGCAGGGCATGAGAAAAGAGATGCCATCCCCACTCAGGGAAGAAACCCAGCAGGTTCGCAGCACCCAGTAGGTAAGCTGCAATCAGGAATCTAGGGAGGGAGCCTGCTGTTAAGCCTGGGTGTCTGGGGTAACAGGAAATGCAGCAACTGTCACGAGAGACGGGCACTTGGCCTGGCTTTCCACACGCCAGGCCTTCACAGGCAGGACCAGCTCTTCTCCTGGGCAGGCCTTGAATCCTGTCTCGGTCAGGACCCACAGTGAGCCGAGTAGGCAAGGATAAGAGGCAGCAGCGAATGACTGTCTCAGGGCTCGGCGGTGGGCTGGCTCCTGTTGCACACTTGCCTTATCTGTGTTTCTGAAACACTCCCCAACTGGCCAGGAGAGACCAGTGGTCTGGGGGAGTCAGGGCACTGCTGTGCCAATGAGAAGCTGTAGAAGGTATCAAAGAGTGGGCACACTCCTTAAGATCCCCTCAAGCCAGAGCTGATCTGTACTGGAATTAGGTAGATACTAACCTCATTCAGGTTTCTATCATGGTGACCTAAATGTGAGGGGACTGCCCTTCACATCTCAAGGACATATCCATCTTCACGGACAGTTGAAGTTCACCAAATTCTTCAAATCATTTTCTGGAAGTTCTTGACTAATAAATTTAAAACATGGGTTTATAATTTAATGCCAAGTCTGATGCTGGCCAATGTGTCCATGGGTCACTACTCGTACATATGAACCACATTAGCCATGGTCCTTACTGTATGACTCTGAGCTCATTCCATCCCTGATGGCCCACAAAGAAGTGAGGCAGGGCTGAAGAAGAGGTCAACAATAATTCCCAGAGATCTCTGTTCCTTGAGTTTAGGAAGCTGACTTCCTGCCTTAACTACCATGTCCTTCCTCTCTGGAAAAATCCCTTGCTCCATGTGCTGGCAGACATTTCCCAAAGACAAGTTCTTGCCAGTTTTTTTTTCCTCCCCACCAATCTGACACCTGCTAGGTTCTGCCAACATGACCACAAGATCCTGTTCCCAGGACTCTCTCTTTCAGATACGGCTCCCACTGGCCTCCTATACAATCAAGGAACCCACTTGCCCCATTTCGCTTGGCCGCTTTGAGATCTGAGCTGAAGCGGTTAGCATTGATGGGGAAGAGCCCCCATCTATCGGGGAAACATGTGCCTGCTTGTTATCTGTAGCAACTGGGAACCTTCATTCACACCTCTTATCCCATGGCCTGCCTTCCAGCTGGGCTCGGCCACGTGAGTCCTGTGGAGCAAGGGCCACAGAAGCAGAAACAGCTCACCCTGGGGCTGCATGTTGACTTCTAAGACACATCTTTGCAGCTATCCTGTGTGGGACTGCGGTGAGATGCCCCTCACAGATCCCTGGACTTGACTCTCCAAACACTGCAGTGAAGGTATCTGAAGCTCATTGCTACCCCAGAGGAGAGGCATGGCACCTCTCAGGCAAACACGGTGGGGTCACCATCCTGCACAGACACCCTTAGGGATCAGCGCCCAGGCTGAGGCACAGGCAGAGGCCCAGCCCTCACAGTGGTGCTCTCAGGCTCCCATGCTGTGCTGCAGAGCAGTGTTCCCTTCATCCTGTAGCAGGATAATTAGGAAACACCTTTCTCTGACTCCCAGAGAGCTAACAAGCCTTGGAAAAAGAGATTCTGTGGGCAAGAATGGGTTCTCCCGAGAGTCGACTTAACCGCCGGGCTTGGGTTCTCCAGCAGCATCCTAAACTATCGTGTCAAGTTTGCCCTCCTGGGGGTGTGATTTCATCTTATGAAAAAGAACATCATGACACCACCAAAAGGTCACCCAACAAGACAGCCTGGTCTTAGACAGCTCTTCCTCATTTAAAATAGATCGTTCCTAAGTTCCTGGAATTCAGGTGCATTCCCACTTGGAGCAAACTCACTTGTGTTTTTTTGTTAATCAAAAACCTGCCATGATCGGTATGTGGCATTTAGGATGGTGTTGGGGTGGGAGGGTCAGGCCTAGAGAGACCACTGCCTCAGTAACAGGGTTCAGTCTCCACAGGGAAAGTGCACTTCAAGATGGCAGCCAAGACAGACTGCCAGGGATTCACACTGCTCATCTGTCCACAGACAACTTTCACCTTTTAGTTAATGTTAGATATTCAGAACCCACCTTAAGTCACGAGTGCCTTTAAAGTTCCTTCTTCCTTGGAGAAATTTTGAAAATACCCACTTTAGGGAGTCCCTGGGCTGTCAGTCTTTAGGCGAGGCCTAAGGAATGACTGTTATCAGGGGGCCCTGGGGAAAGACAGGGAGGCCATAGGAGTCATGAGCCCTCAAATGAGATGTAAGCTCCATGGAGCATGTCATTGGCAAGGGAGTTGACAGGAGGTGTGCTCCTGTCCTGGTCATCAACTGGCAATGTCAAAATCTCACAGAGACATGATAGCTAACTAGATATTCCTCACTCAGACTCCGCTGTAAAGATAACACAGTGAGCCAGGACATCGATTCATCTTGAGAGGTGGCATGAGAAGCCGAGCTGGGACAGTGCAGCTACCACGTACTGGACATCCTTTGTCTTGACCTAGCACCCAACCCCAGGGTAACGAGAGGGAAGGAAGTCAACAGATGTGCCGGCAGACAGCAGCCACACAGGCTCCTCCCATCAGCAGTCAGCAGCCAGGAAGAGTCTCCGGTGACAGTGAGTGCAAGGACTGCCCAATCAATGATGGTAGAAAACACAGACACAGCCATGGGCCAGGAAGCTCCGGGAAGGCCAGCAGCTTCTCACTGGGGATACCCCTGCCTGTGGGTGCCACGATGAATCCTGTGCAGATGTCTAAAGCAAGGCTATGGGAAAAGGAATCCCAACGGGCATGCTTGCCACTCAAGCCCGGGCTGTGAATTGAGGAAGGAGCAGTAGCTACGTGAATCTGGTAGCAGAGCCCCAGAAAACCCACCCCAGGTACACATAACAGGTACCTCTTTAGACCCTAGTAGAGTCCAGCAACAAGCTGGGTCAACCTGTTTGTGGTACACAAATGTCTAGGGAAGAGTTTTGGAAATAGAAATGTTGGCTGAGTTTTTTTTTTTTTTTCCCCTCTAAGGGACTATTTGCTTTTATTCAAAAGCTGCTATTCAAATAACCTTGGCTTCCGTGTGCTGGAGGCAAGCTTTCTAAACCACAGGGGAGAAATCGGTGAGAACTCAGTGTGTTAGCCAGCACATTGAACGTCATTCTTCTCAAACGGTAAAAGTGTAAGCACAGAGGACCAGGGTCATTCAGGGTGAGCTGCCGTGCAAGGAAAGTAGCTGGTACATCTGTCTGTGCACTCAGCATCTCCCTGTGTGCACCTGCTAAATGTTGCTGTCACATTCTGAATCACCTCTGAAATCAGCACATTCATGGAAGAGACTGCAGCCAGCCCTGTGTGATCGGAAACTTCCAGGCTCTCCTGGCTGTGCTCTCCACCTGGAGCAGTGAGCAGCTGCAGCCATTCAGGAATTCACGGGCCATCTGTTGTCCTCACAGAGTGGAGCTCACTGGGTCTGGTCCACAGAGACAACTGGAAAAGAAGGAAGCATGTTCATCGAATTGACTGTGCTCAAGAGGGTAGGAAGAGCCATAGGGCTGTCATGGCTGCACTGAGAGGGCCTTCCCCTCCCTCCTCTCAGGCTAGAATTCTCCCCATGAAGACAACCTATCCTTTGGGGGCCCGAACCGCCTCTCTATGTATAAGGATGCCCTTGTCTGTATGCCTCCCAGAACTCCCACAGCAGGAAAACCCGGGCTTCAATCCAGCAGCTATTCATTCTGATCATTCCCTCTGGGCCTGGTAGGCCTTTGCTAACTACACCAACACCAGTCTCATGGTGAAGGCTGAAAAACTGTGCATCAGGAAACAGAAGTCCAGGCTGGGATATATCTCAGTGAAAGATATCCTGCAAGGATGTGGGCCTAATTCCCAGCATCGAGAGAGAGAGAAACAGAGAGACAGAGGGAAACAAGAAAGCAGAGGGCTCGATCACAAAATGTCCAGAGGGGCTGGGTGGCGGTGGCACACCTCTGTAATCCCAGCACTCGGGAGGCAGAGCCAGGCAGATCTCTGTGAGTTCGAGGCCAGCCTGGTCTACAGAGTGAGTTCCAGGAAAGGCTCAAAGCTACACAGAGAAACCCTGTCTCAAAAAACCAAAAAAAAAAAAAAAAAAGGCCAAAGGGCCTCTGAATTCTCATTACTTCAGCTTTCCTACACATACCATCATATTTACTGGAGATCCACTATGTTCCAGAAGCAGGAAAAGACATTGTGGATTCAGTAGTGATCAAGTATGTCTTAGCCTATTCTAGCTGCTATAACACCAATGCATCAGACTGGATAATGCAGAAACAATGGGGATGTACTGTTAACAGTCTGCAAGCTGATACATCAAGATGCGCATGAGCACATTTGCTACCTAGTAAGGGCCATTCCTCATGAACGATAACTTCTATGCATTCTCACACCGCAGAAGGGGCAGGCTTGCTCTCCCACGGGCCTCCCATATAATTAAGAAAATCCCATTCATAAGGGCTCCACCCTCATAATCCTCTTCTAAAGTCTACTTTCTAATACTATTACCTTGGGGATTAAGTTTCAACATACAAACTTGGGGGTGAAATAAACATTCAAACCCTAACAAAGACAATGAGATATTGTCTCTATGGAATTTGCTGCCAGAACACAAAAGTCACACAAATAAGAGAATGGTGGGTACCAATAAAACCCAGGAACAAAGTGGAATGCTGACCCGGGGTTGACTCTGATGGGCTTGCCCTGGTTGCTGAGACTAGACTAAAGGACACATGAGCTGACCAAACAAAGCAGACAGTTCCAGTCATTTGGGGCAGAAGGACAAAGGGGCAGGGAGGTGGAGTATATGTAAAGTTCTGAGGTGGAGAACTGCCACAAGCCGCAGGAAAATGTAATAGAGCCCAGCTACTATCACAAAAACTACTGCTTGGAAAAGTCAAGGACTTTTCCAAAGGTCAAGCCACGGCTTAAGAAGTCTTGATGATAATTCAGCTTTTGTATATATTTTAGCTGGTTCCTAAAATGATTTTCTTGTGTGCTTCCAAGAACTCCTAACAGTGTATTTATCTAAAATACCCATCAAATATCCAAGGCCAACTGATCTCCTGAACTAAGGTAACACCCTTGTGGAAATGACGCCTGTTTCCTAGGTCAGGAGGACAGCTTTATTTCTTGTGCAATCTGAGATCTTCCTTTTCTATTACTAACATTATAGACTCCTAACTTCTTACCTAACCACTTCTAGGTATGTAGACTGAGCACACAGATCCCCTTCTTGATTTACTAGCTGATCATTAGCTCTCAGTTGCCCTCCTCCTTTAACCACTCCATTTTCAGGTTGTAAAAGAAAGCCTGATGGTCACTGCCTGAGGAAAATTCTTACCTGTCTTTATGACCCCATAAGAATTCAAGCCTGGTGATCTTGCTCTGGCAGAGGATCACTATTGCTTGAGCTTTTATCTGAATACCCTAGAGAACTTGAGAGAGAAGAACTGGGAAGTATAAGGAGGATTTTGACCAGAGAGAACAGGAGGATGAGATGAGGAAGAGCCAGACAGGGAAGTACTAGATGGGTAGGAATGAGATGAGAAGAACCTAGATGAGGCAGAATTAAGATGAGAGAATTAAGATAGAACTTAGAAGGGACAGCAGATAAAGGTAGAGAGAAATCAGGCAAGAAAGGAGCTAGGCACGAGAACAGAACTGAAGCTGTGTAGATAGGATTTTATTCCAGAGGGATAAAGTAGACAGACTAAGAGCTTGGTGTACTTAGATTCTTTTCCCAAAAATAATTCTCACCATTTGGAGTTTCTCTTCTGGGTCCCTGGGAAGAATATTATTAAGGCTGGTCTTTTAATAATATACAAGAGAGGACACAGGGAGGATCTGTAGAACTGAGTGAAGACCCAAGAGCGGGGACATCCAGCCCATGCCTGACTGGGGAGGGCTTGGATGTCACTCCAAAGAGAGTTTATCAAAGTGTGGCCCAATGTGATTCTACTCTGATATGGAATATATATGTGTGGTGCCTATCTCCAGCGGGCTGGAATCGCAGGTGGGCGTTACCCTACCTAAATAAAAGTACTTATTTAAGAGAACAAGAAGAATGAAACCAGAAACCACTGTGAACAAGGGGCTGAGGAGACGATTCAGTGGGTAAAGTGCTTGAGTGTAAGCGTGAGGACCTGATTCAGAGCCCAGGTACCCACGCAGAAGGCTGCACATAATGACAGCTACTTGCAATCCCAGCACCGGAGGCAGGGTCAGGAGGGTCCCAAGGGGTCACTGGCCAGCTAGTGTAGCCAGATGGTGAGCTTCAGCTTCAGTGAAAGACCCTGTTTCAAAAAATAAAGTGGAAAGAAATAGACAAAGACACCCAAACTGACCTCTGGGCTCCACATTTGCATGAATAGTTGCACGCGCAACACACACACACACACACACACACACACACACACACACACACACGAACAAATTATTTTTAGTGTAGGAGGGGGATTGGGGACTGGTTCCTCACTAGTGAAATGAGGTTGTCTCTGATGCTTTTCCAAGCTGTCCATCTAGGCCAGACTGACAAAACATCTACTGTACATCCTGTAGACATTCACTGAACTTCTCTGGGTTCCGAGCATCCTGAGAAGACCTGGGGAAACAAAATGGAGAAAGACTCCATTTCTTTCTGTTGGGAGCTTCTGCTAAGCCCCACAGAGGGCTTCATGCTGACTGCTCTGATGCATTTCATTGACTATTTTGTTTTCATTTAACACATTTTTATAAAGACAATTGTCTATAAAGGGCATAAATGTACTCATGACAAAGTATTTTTTAAAAAGACCTAGCACTTAGGGTTTTTTCCTCTAAACTCAATCAGCAATTTGCCAAGCAACCAATATTAAGGATGTTTACACTCACCACCAAAAGGCAAGACCACATCCAGACAAGTCCTCCACCGGCTCCAAGTCTGCCATTGAAGCATTATCCTAATTAGTCTTAACAATAAACAAAAACCTGAAGTCAGATATTAGGGTGAAAGTTGAAAGGTCAGAGAAGTAGAGCAGACAGCCACTTCTTACCTCTAGGAATCCTCAGACCAAATGGTGGGCATCCTGTCTGTCTCTATGAATCCTCAGATTGAATGGGGGTCGAAGTGGGGGGGGGGGCGAGATCCTGTCCCATCTCCCAATTGTGCTGTGATGAAAGGTGTGAGCCTCTCAAGGGTTGGAATCAAAGGCATGAGATCTCAAGTGCTGAGGTCAAAGGTGTGAGCCACCACCCCCTGGCCCTACTTCTCTTTTAGACTGATTCAATCTCCTGTAGCCTAGGGTGGCCCTGAACTCCTGATCTTCCTACTTCCTTCTCCCAAGTGCTGGGATTAAAGCTGTGTGCCACCACAACCTGGCCTTTATGGTTAACCAGTGGCTAGCTCCACTCTCTGATCTCCAGGCAAGCTTTATTTGTCAGAACACAAACAAAATATCATACAAGTCGTTGTAGAGCATGGCTGTGCCACGGTTCTCTTGGTGACCCTGGTGAATAGCTTTGGCCAGGGTGTCCTGTCAAAGGTGCTCTCAAAGATAGAGCCACCATCTATGGAGAGTTAGCCCATCTCGTACGGGCGGGGGTTCTGAGTTTCTCCTGGGTGAAGCATAAGCATCAACAGGTCTCTGTGTCTATCTTTCTGACCTTACATCTTTGGACACAGTTCCCAGGATGTTTCCATGTTCCAAGTTTAAAAAGAACAAAAGAAACCATGACCATTTGTCTACAAATCTGGAGGGAGACACCAGCCATCCTAGCTCCTCCTGATTCCAGTCTCTCTCCCTCTACTTGACCACATGATCCAAAGCAAACAGCAGGAGACATTTCTCAGCTGGAAGCTCCTAGCCCAGGAATAGGATTTCTACAAACTGGGAAGTTCAGTCTTCATTTATTTATCATTCACTGAACAGTCCTTCCTACTGTTCCCAGGCCAGGGAGTAAGGACATGAGGACCAAGTTCTGTGATCAGGATGGGAGATCTAACCAGGATCCAAAGAAACCTGATAACCCCATAGAGGATAAAGGGGATAAAGCCAATGAGCTCATCAATGTTACGGCCGCCTTTGGCGCATCCAATGAGTCAAATGTATACATGCACAGACATGTATACAGTCCTATAGCAATGACTATATGAGGTGTGTGTAACAGTGCACCCATGCATACAGCTCACATATATGAAGTGTGTGTAGCAGCAGTCTTATCTAAGCCACAGAAGCAGCGTTTGAACTGAGATCTGAAGGATGAGCAAAACTGATGGATGGGGATGATGTACAGGGGAGATCATAGAAAAAGATGTGTTGTTGGTTGTTTTTGCTCTTTTGAGGGGCCTACCACCTAGGTCCCAAATAAATCACACATGGAGGCTTATTCTCAATTATAAATGCCCGGCAGTAGCTTAGCTTGTTTCTTGACAGCTTTTCTTAACTTTAAATTATCCCACCTACCTTTTGTCTCTGGGCCTTTTCCTTTTCTTGCTTCTGTAATCTTATTTTCACTCTTACTCCATGGCTGGCTGGGTGGCTGGGTGGCTGGGTGGCTGGGTAGCAGGCCCCTTCTTTTCTCACTCCTTGATTTCTCTTGCTCTTTCTTCTTCTCCCAGATTTCTCCTTTTATTTATTTTCTCCATCTGCCAACCCCACCTATTTTTTTCCCTGACCTGATATTGGCTGTTCAACTCTTTATTAGACCATCAGGTGTTTAAGGCAGGCAAAGTAACACAGCTTCCCAGAGTTAAACAAATGCAACATAAAAGAATGCAGCACATGCTAGGTGGTGATGGTGCACCCAGCACTTGGGAGGCAGAGGCAGGTGGATCTCTGTGAGTTCAAGGCCAGCCTGGTCTATAGAAAGAGTTCCAGGACAACCAGGACTACTTCACAGAGAAACCTTGTCTCAAAAAACCAAAAGAGAGAGAGAGAGAGAGAGAGAGAGAGAGAGAATGCAATACATCTTTGCATCATTGAACAAATGCAACACAGCTTAAAATAATATTCTACAACAAAGATGTCCCTTGCCTAGGTGGTCAGTGCACAGGGAGGGGTGGGTGGAGCACCCAGTGGGACTGAAGAGAAAGTGCTGAGCGTAGCTAGAAGACAGCAGCCTAGGTTACTAGGAGCCAGTTTTGATTGTCACCTTCAGAACAATGGACTCCTCCGAGAGATCACAGTTCTCCAGTGACTAACCCACTTAAGCATGGAGATGGATTGGAAATGGCAAACAGTGATGGTGAGCTGAACTAAAGGCATCAGAGCCAAGAAGACGGATGTGGGTTTTAGAAACTGTATGAAGAATAATTTGCAGAATTGTCAGGTGTGGGGTGGAGGAGAGTGACAGCGACACACCCATGCACCTGGGCTCCCAGATTACCTGGTTTAGCTGCCCTGGAACAGAATCTATTTGAGGTAGGGAAGCATATGAGTTCAGTTTCAGATTAAAGCGGGCCTTTGCAAACATTTATCCAGAGCTACATAAATGAGAGTCCTGGGATCGGGAGTCATCAGGGTATAAGTGGGATTGAAATTGAATTCCCAGAGGAGATTGTCCTAGAAGAAAGTGGAATATGGGTCTAGATGTCCCTAAGCAGCTGAGGTATGGCCCTAAGAGAGCTCCTGCAGAGATGACATCAGCTAGAGAGAAAATGGGTCTGGGGAGTAAACAGAAGAGAAATTCTGCATACTATACATCACCTTCTAGAACTCTCCAAGACGTTCAGATGGAAAGACTTTTAGGCACCACCATGAGAACTGCTGTTGCTAAGCCCTCTGTGATTCCAAATGACACTGACCAGGGAGCCCTTGGAAGTATGGTCAGGAGTAAGCATCCAAGGGCACATGACTTCAGGTAGTTCTGCCTTCCTAAGTAAACCATCACCTTTCAAAGCTCCCATTCAGCTCCACTTCCCAGGCACCTCTTGGTCATGGGCTCCCCAGTGAACCCACCCCGACCCCCCAGGCTCCAATCCGATACCCACTCTTCCCTTCTGCAAATAGCCTTGCTTCTCTCTGTGAGTCACATCTGAGCTGTTCTGACTTCTCCTAATTAGCTCTTTTTACATGGTAGCTCTGCGATTCCTTTCCATTTCCACTGCCCATTTAAAAGCCTTATTTTCATTTCTGAAGCATCCCTTTAAACTCCCTGTCACCTCTTTGGTTTCCATTGTGAAGCTGACATGTCGCTAGCTTAAAAGAGTACATTTCCATATTCTCCTTACAGATTTGCATTTCCATTTCATCTAGAGAGAAAACAGCGGACTCCTCAGAAAAGTGCTGGTGGGCAGAGGGTGTATCATCCAACGGAGTGACTGGCTCCTTCACAATATGAGATCTCAGAGGAAAATTTAGGAAACTAACCACAGGCAGAAAACTTTGAATAATAGGAGTTGGTATAAAATTGGATTCCTACCTCACTGCCCCAGATCTGCCCCATCCTCCTAATTTATATTGACTATGCCCAGAAGAGCTTATGGAGAAGTCTATTCAGAAGCACTTTTGGTTATAGTTGATGTCCCAAATAGTTCCATTGTGTTTACTTCATCTGCTTAAAGAGTAATCTTTGTCTCATGAGAGCATTCTTCCTGTCCTCGGAACCAACACTACCCTGCCCTTTCCCTACTTAGGAAAGCTAAGGCACTTGTGCTTAAGGTTCCGCAGTAAAACATTCAACCAGGCTTCACAGAGGGGTCCACAGATGGCAACATTCTCAACCCTACAACAGAGATGGCAAGTCACACTCTCCTCTGGGACTCACAGCAGCCATTACTTAACAATTCTGTAGCTCCTTCGGCCTTGCTGACCTTTGAGATGATTGCGATCATCCTTGCCTTGCTCACCAATTTCCCCTACGAGGTATAAATGGAGCCCCAGGCACAGGCACCGACACCCCACACTACCTTTAGCATGGCTTGTCTAGCTTCACACTACTCCCCCAGCAGGGTCTCCTCTGCGCATGTGTTCACTCTGTCTCAGACGGAGAAAGACCCTTTCAGTCCTTCAGGACTGGATTTGGCTTCTGAGTGTCTTTCTCTACTGTGGACCAGTGAGAACTACCTCTTGGAATGCCAAAGAACTCACAGAGCCTCTTGGGAAGGAAGGGTCTCTTTTGATGGTCTGTAAATACAAGCTTCACTCTCTTTACCTCAGAGACCATGGACACAAAGGGGCAGCGTGTCTCTCCACCTCCATCACTGGCTGGCAACTAATGATGTTCATGCTTCCCTGTCTGCTCTCCCTTGTCCTCTTCTCTTTTACTTCATCATTTAGCTCAGAATGGCTGTCTGAGAACATCTTGGGTCCAGAGTCAGACATCTTTCCACTGTTGGAAGCTGTTCCATGTGCCCCTGAGAAAGGCCCCGTGGCTCTGCCATGGTGCTTCTTTCTCTATACACTGTACCTGGCTGTGTTCCTCATACTCTCCATGCCCGAGACAGTTAGCTTTAAAAAAAAAAAATCAGCTTAAAAAAACAAGACACATGCCCCAAGGACACACCCCCAGTAACCTGTGGTTTCTTGCTAGGCCCTTCCTTCTAAAATATCCAGAACCTTCCAAAATATGCAACCAGCTGCGATCCAACAAAGCCTTTATTAATAACAAGTCAGGGAGGATGGCATTTCCTATTTAAACCATCGTTACCATCTTTTCAGCCTTCATTCACTCTGCAGTCAGTTACTAAGCATGTCCTGTGTTGTGGTTAGTTCTGTGTCCAGTGCCATGCCATGTCCTTGTTCAAGGGAGTATGGAAGGCCTTGACTAAAGCTCAACTCGCTTTGCATACACTGTGGTCAGGACGCTGAGGCTGGGCTGCCTAGCTCCCAGCTCTCTTGCACTCGGGACAGACAAGAATCCTTATGGAAGAGTAAGTAGCAGCCCGCCTCCCTCCCCCCACCCTCCCCTTCAGTTTGTGAGACACAGGGGAGGTTTTCAGAGTTCATGGTAACAGGACCAACAGAGGCCTTTGGAAAGGACTTGAGGGCTAGCAAGATGGCTCAGTGGGCAAAGGCACTTGCCACCCAGTCTGGGGACCTAAGTTCAGTCACTGGGCCCCGCATGGCAGAAGGAGAGAAGCAACTCCCACAGGCTGTCCTCGGATCCCCATAAAAACATTTTTGTTTGAAAAGAAAGGGCGCTGGGTCCTCACATGGGCAGCCAGTGGAAGCATTCCCTCACAAATTAGATGGCTATTTTGCATGCTAAACACGTTTTTCGGACATAAGGGAGACACGTGGACATTAGCCACAATAGAAGGCTATAATAAATTAATCTACAGCACACTAGCCCCCAGAAAATCGTTTGCCATGGTTATTGAACAAAATGATGACCTCAGCCCCAGACTGTCACGAGCCCTGCAGACATGCACACTGAACAGCTGGTGTTAGATCTCCGTTGCGGAACCCGCTGTGCAGAAAACCAGCAACCCCGCACAGCTCTGCCCAGGAAGGGGATAAGCAAGACTGTGTGTGAATATGAGGTTGTGGATTGACTATCTAGACCCCCACTACCAACACCTGCATTCCTTCTCCTCCCCACCCTGCCCAGTGCCATGCCAGAGTGTCAGCAGTGACCAGGAGAGGCTGTTGGCTCTCAGCCCTGTTTTAGCTTCTCTACTGGGCTTCTTCATGGTGTTGCTTCTCTATAATATTTCATTTTCTCTTCCTCTCTTCCTCCCCTTCCAGTTACATGTCTCATTATTTGGTTCTGCCTTCTGATGTACAACAGATGATGTTCACACACATACATACAAAATGCATGTACACACACACACACACACACACACACACACACACACCAATTCACAGCTGGTGCTAATGTTAATAGTATTTGGAGATGAGGTTGTCAGGAGACAGTGTCTCATGACACCATGAGGTGAGGTCCTCACCTTGAGATTAGCATCCTCATAAAGAATGACAGATAAAAGCTCCATTCCCCTCCACTTTATGAGGATGTTTTTAAAAAACAGCATCTGCAAACTAGGACCTGGTCCTAACCATACTCAGGATCCACTGGCACCTTGACCTTGAACCTCCAACCTTCCAGAACAATAAGAAATAAATTATTGTTTAAGCTGCCCAGTCTACGGTATCTATAAGATTATCCCAGGTTGACCGGGATTTTTTCCAAGGCCAGTATCAAGACCAGCACAGCAAGGATTAGGCCAAACACTTTGTTGGGGGTTGGGGTATTTACTTTACATTTAGCAAGTAAAATTATAGGATTCCCAGTTAATTTATGTTTACTTAATTGTATAATGTGAGTATATCCATGTAATGTTTGGAATGTACTTACGCTAAGATTTTTTGTTTGTTTGTTTGTTTTTGCTTTTTTCATATCTGAAATTCAGATGGAACTAGGTGTGTTGTGTTTTCACTAAATCTGGGACCTACTCCAGCACACAGCTTTGGTGGGAGTAGTCATGGTGGCTTGGGTTCTTTGCTGTCCCTATGATGGGGAAGTAACAGGTAAAACTAGCACCCAAACGTGTTGATGCAAAGGCTCCTCTGTGGCAGAGAATTAATCAGGTCCCTCATCACTACAACAAAATGCCGGACGGAAGCTTTTTAAGGGAATGAGGCTTCTTCCGGCTCATGGCTTCGGGGAACACGGCCCACAGTTGTGAAGTGGCCATGGTAAGTGGCTCCCTGGAGTGGCAGGAGCCAGCGGCTTCTCCTTCCCACATCTTAGCAGGTCACGAAGCAGAAAACAGGTTGGAAGTGAGACCAGGTATAATCCTCAAGGCTCACTCCCAGTGGCTTATGTCTGCCAGCTGAGTTCTACAGCCCAACATTTTCACCACCTCCCAAAACAGTGCCACTGGCTGGGCATCAAGTGTTCTGATACATGAGTTTGCTGGGAACACTTCAGATTCAAAGCAAACATCTGGTAATGAGAAAAATCAGTCTGGGGGGATCCCATTACACCTCAGGCACTCAGCAGCTTTGCCTCTGAAAACAGGAGGCTGTAACTAGATAATCCATCAACAGCCTGTTAGTGCTGACCGTCTGAGCCTCCTCACATAGCTATAACCATATTCTGTATGCATGAGAGTGCTGTTTTTCCGTTGGCTCAGCGACTGCCCCTGAATCCACTGATCTTTTAACTACCGTCTGCAACCCTCTAGGGCCCGCAGTCAGTGCCCTGCCACTCAGGCCACAGCCTGGCAGGATTTCCTGTCCGGTCAGCACTGGTCTGCTGCTGCCGCCAAATGTAGTTTTTTAACTAAATCTTTGTACTACTTACCAATAAAGACTCAGGAGTCAGGGGTGTAACCCTGCTAGCTCAGAGAGGTGGAGAAGCAGCCAGCTGACCTTCAGTTTTGGCCAGAGACTTGGCAAGAGAGCATCTCTCTACAGCTGCCCAAACCAAAAAAAAACCTAGAAACTCTAAGTCCCTCCCTCCTCCTTCCTGTGTGTCTCTCTATTGGTCTTCCTGACTCTTCTGTACTCACCATGGCTAATTCCTGCCAATTAGTTGCTGGCTCCGCCCACTGGTCCACGGTTGATTTTATTAACACAGTCTCAGGTGTCACAGTATGATCAAATATCCCGCAACATGAGAGTCACTTGAAGAACACACTGGATGAAGGTGACCAACCTGGTCTTGAAGATTCCAACCTCAGAGGACTGTGTTCTCATCACCATCAAGAGTCAGGATTCTTATCGATTTGTAGTGGCCCGATCCCAGCTTTTGGGAGGCAAAAGCAGGCAGATCTCTGTGAGTTTGAGGCCAGCCTGGCCTACAGAGTGAATTCCAGGACAGCAAGAGCTATAGATGGAAACACTGTCTTGGGGGGGGGGGCGAGAAGGGAATCAAGATTCTTGAGTGTTGGCACTGTCCCAGGCAGAGCCGAGACTTCAAGTACACCTTCATTTCTGTCACCAACAAGTGGCCGGCCCCATTGCTCGGCGAGTCTGACAGAGCATCACTTCCCTACGGCTGCACAGGTTGGTGATAAGCGTGTGTCCTGGAGCCCGATGACCTATTGCTACTTATTTAACCCCCCTGCAAACTAGAGATAAGCTCTTCTTCTGTGACAACAATATCACTAAGAAATGAAGTTAGCTCACAGCCTCCAGGTGTGGACACCTTCAGACCAAGTCTGCTTGCTTAGTAGACAGCACCAGCCATGACTGGACATGGTGGGCTCCTCTATGAACTGTCTTGGACTAGAGATTTCCACTTGTCTTGCTGAGTTTCTGAGCTCCCTACCATCTGAGGATCCTCCTGTCTGGCCCTTTCTCCTCCTCCCTCACCTCCCATAGACAGCTGACATCAATAGTGACCTGAGTAAGTCTCCATCCACCCACTTTTTCTTAGCTCATCACCACTTCATTCACAGGCATTCTCCTCGGCACATGTCGACAGTGTCCATGTGTGCTATCTTCTTCCTGGAGAATCTAGCTGATGAGTCATGCCATGCTTTGGGGTGCTAGCTTTTCCTACCAAGGTCCTTATGACACAGTCTAGGGGTCCTGATCTGGTTCCTTTTCTCTGGCAGTTAAAGAATTCAAAGACAGAAAACTGCAGTACATCAGACAGCAGCAGAAACGCCTTGAGCGCCGCCACCACAGACAGGAGCAACAATTGAAAGGTGTTTATTGGAGGTGAGGAAACACACACATGCAACAAACACCCAGAGAAAACGACCCTCTGCAAACCAGAGCAGGGACGCAAAAACTGAAAATCCCATTCTCTTCTTGAAGGCCAGGCTGGGTTCTGGGTTTTTTGTTTGTTTGTTTGTTTGGTTGGTTGGTTGGTAGGTTGTTGTTGGTTGGTTTATTTAAGTCTCTGGAGAAGTTTCCTCCCCTAATTTAGGGTTGGTCAGTTTGAAGAAAGAGAGGACAACTGATTGGCTAACGATTGTGTGTAACATGTCCTGATCTGGCCTTGAACTTGTTGAGCCAGTCCATCAGCAGGTGGCCTGCTGGTAGGAGACAAAAGCCTACAAGGCATTTGTTTTATGCTGTCAGGCTTTTGTCTCAAGCCAGGATTGTGAGGAAGGTGGCCGCCATCTTGGAACTTTGCCACTTTTATTATCTGGCCCTGGACTCCCTCTCTCCCTGTCTGTCTGCCTACCAGGCAGTCTGTTTAACTCCTAGTCTCTAATTAACTTTAGCATGAAGAACTTACCAACCTATGCATTTGGTCTTTCAGACAGCAGAGATCAAACTAATCTTGGCTTCATTTCAGCACAGCAGGAGAAGGACCTCTGAACACTGCACAGAGACCTGCTGGCCTCAAGTCACATCCTCTGCTGCATGGTTTTATGTCAACTTGACACAAACTAGAATTATTTGGGAAGAGAGAACCTCAACTGAGAAAATGTCTCTAACTGATTGGCCTGTCAGTAAGCCTGAGGGACATTTTCTTGATGGATACTGAATGTGAGAGGGCCCAGCTCACTGTGGGTGGTACCACCCCTGGGTTGGCGGTCCTGGGTGCTAAAAGCAAGCCAGTGAGCAGCACTCTGCTGTGGGATGGTCTGTATGTCAAATTACTCTGATTGGTCAATAAATAAAACACTGATTGGCCAGTGGCTAGGCAGGAAGTATAGACGGGACTAACAGAGAGTAGAAAAGAAAAAACAGAAAGGAAGGTGTCACTGCCAGCTGCCGCCAGGACAAGCAGCATATGAGGATGCCATTAAGCCACGAGCCACGTGACAAGGTATAGATTTATGGAAATGGATTAATTTAAGATATAAGAACAGTTAGCAAGAAGCCTGCCTTGGCCATACAGTTTGTAAGCAATATAAGTCTATATGTTTACTTAGTTGGGTCTGAGTGGCTGTGGGACTGGCTGGTGACAAAGATTTGTCCTGACTGTGGGCAAGGCAGCAAAACTCTAGCTACAGCACTCCTCCATGGCCTCTGCATTATCTGTTGCCTCTAGGTTCATACCTAAGTTCCTGCCCTGACTTCCCTTGGATTATGGACCATAAACTGTAAAATTAAATAAACCCTTTCTTCCCCAACACTGATTTTGGTCATGGTTGATGGTAATCGGTGCTGGTTGTTGGCACTGGTTACCAGCAGAAAAGTCACCAGCCACAGCAGAACCCAATGTTAGTTTTTAGAGCTTTATTGGGAAGGAAAGGGAAAGAGGGGAGAGAGATACAGGCCTGGGGGGAGGGAGCAGATCAGGTCCAGAGAGAGAAAGCGGAGAGAAAACACAGCATCCAGCTTTTTAAGGTGGGTACATAGTCACCCACACCATGATGACGTAAGACACCAGACCCCCGAGGAATGAGAGCAGAATCCTAACAATGGTGTTTCATTACAGCAATAGAAACCTTAACTAAGACAGGCCCTAGGTTCATAATTGGTGGGCTTGAGTGTGTGGTTCTCCACTGCCAAGAACACAACTGGCATCTCCATAGCCACTGCCATGCCTCCATGCCTTCCATGTGCTAGAGTGTTGCCTGATCACTGGGATTCTCGTTATTTATACTTCATTTCAAGTCACTGTGGACCACTGAGATCAGACACACTGGGAATCCTACCTAGCATCCATTTAGACTAGGGTTAGACTTATCCAACCAAAGGCAATGAGGGCCTTTGTCACCAATTAGCTCCCCATGCTGGTTGACAGGTTGATAGTTGCCCTGAGGGCTTTAGAGTCTTATTATTATTATTATTATTATTATTATTATTATTATTATTACTATTACTATTTGTGTGTATTATTATTATGCATGTGTATGTGCGTGCAGGTGTGTGCACATGTGCACATGCATGTTGAAGCCAGAGTTTGATACTGGGTATCTTCTTCAATAATTCATCCTCCATTTTTTTCATTAAAGACAGGGTCTCTCAGTCAGCCCAGAGTTCAGTGATTCAGTGGCCCCAGCCAGCTTGAGGGATCCTCCTACCTCTGCCTGTCTAGCACTAGAACTAGCAGCTCCTGTCACCATGTGCTGCTTTGTCCGTGGTGGCTGGAGCACTGAAGTCCAGCCCTCATGTCTGCACTTTACTGACTGAGCCGTCCCTCCTGACCCCAAATTCCCATCGACTTTTAAGGTGGACAGTCTGCACACCGAAGGGGCTCTTGCTGCAGCTGAAGAAGAAGTCCTTGGGCCGGCAAGCAAACAGGGGCAGGGGCTCAAGGCAGGACTTGTTAGCAGTAGGGAATTTATTGGGAATGGTGGTGCGTCTCCTTCATCCGAAACTCAGGAGCCTGAGGCAGAAAGACTGTGGCTGCAAAGGGAACCTGGACTACATATCAAGACTCTCTCTAAAACAAACTTGGAAACCAAACCAAACCAACAAAAGGCCAGCAAGGAATGGAAATGCCTGCCTGCGGGAGCTGTGCAAAGTGAAGAGCCTGAGCTAGGCCATCCACAGCAGATGCCCCAAGCGGCAACACTCCGTAATACTCCTCATCTCAGCTGCTCAGTCCTCATGGTTCACGGCCAGGGCCAGCCCCCGGCAGCAGGGCAATGTGGTGAGCACTGACTTTCCTGTTAGAGTTTCGTGGTGACATATATAATCTTTATTTTTTAGAAGGTGCTATAATAGACTGTAATGTAAATGTCACGTGAATTTTCAAAACTAAGTGTGAATTTCCCCAGACCCTCATGATTGACACTAGCTGCTTTGGGTGGACCATCTAGAGCGCCTTTCAGCCAAGTGGAAAAGACTGACAAGCAGAGCTGAGGGTCTTTCCGGCCACCCAGCATTATCATGTGAGAGATCGCAAGGATCGGGTTTCTGGGTTTGAGGGAGATGCTGTCAGCAGCGAGTCCCAGAGAGTACATGAGCCTCGGGCACAGTAGAGACAGCACAAGGGTTGACATTCTTATTTCCGGGCTGGGACAACACCCAAAAAGTCATTCTGCAATTAGCTCTGAGTTAGCATTTGGAGGTCCCCCCTGAACAGTGTGGCAGAGGGAATATATGACAGAATAGGCTAATCCTAGCTGAGCAGTCCCTGAACAGTTTTGAAAGGAAATGACACTGGATGTGAGCTCGGAAGAGAAGCAGGGATAAATTGAGAAAGGGGCATGGAAGAAAAAAAAAAAAAGCCTCAGATATAGGAGACAGCTTGTGCCAACCAAGGCCAGGGAGGAGAAAGTACTCCTGGAGTGGAAGACTTGGCCGTGAACCAGGAAGAGAAGAGAGGCCACACAGGATGGGTCTGGTCTCCAGAGGCATTCCAGGCTGCCAGGGGATGCTGGAGATTCTGCGGCCAAAGCAGGTCTGCAGGGAGAGGGCTCCTGTCGGCTTTTAAATAAGACTTGCAGCCCTGAGACAGGCCACTTAGTCACAGTGCGGAGAGACATAAGGAAGGACAATGTGGCCACTGGGCAGTCAATGAGTGGGCAGAAGTGTCAGCCTAG